TTGCGATTGTTCGAGAAAAGTCTCTGGTATGTCAAACTTATTTTTTCCACTGGACATTAATTGTAATCAAAATTGTGAATTTAAAAGAGTACTGATGGTAGTGTGTTACAGTCTGAATCACTAAATTGTGGTATAAGAAATAATTTTTCAGTTTGTTATCCTGTCTTTTGGTTTGTTTGTTTGTTTGTATTTTCTTTATGCAGTACTTAAAAATCTGAACTTTTCAGGGAATTTTACCTTTCATATATATATATATCCCCCCCCCCCCCAATTTGTAATGTTTTACAGTTTGGGAAATCATGGTTGGAAAAGGAAGTTCGGAAGTATTACCAAGCAAATAACCCAGCAGGACTCTCTCCTGATGAATTTGCGGACACAATAGTCAATATGCTAAAGTCAGGTCGCTCAAATGATGAACTTCAGAATGAGGTGAGTGACTAAGCATAACGATGTTCATCTGGGTAGTGTTTCATTCTGTGAGACTGTTCTCAAAAATTCCTCACCCTCAGCAGTGTTGTTTCATTTTTGCAAGTATCTTTTATAGGATTCAAAATGGAGACAGAGAATGTTTAGTTTGAGGAACATATAAATATTACACAGTGCCAAACAGGTGATTACAGTCGATTTTCCATCATCGACATTTGTTTCTTGTCCAAACATTTTTATGCTGAAAGCGAAGTAATATTAAATAGTTTATCAATTGACATTCTTTTCATACGCATGCTTATAGAGTAGTCTCCCATAAATGTATTGAAAAAAGGGGTTTTAAAATGCCGTGCTAATAGATTCTGAATATGGTATATTTGGTAGGACTTAGAAATTATTGCAGGGTTGTTCTTTGTATCATTAGACATGGGGTCTGACGAGATTATTCTCGTTTCTGTTTTTCACAGCTGTTTGATTTACTGGGCTTTGACAGATTTGAGTTGATTCAGTCAATTCTGCAGCATAGAAATGACATTATACTTGGTGCATCTGTTGCAGAGGAGAAGAAGTCGCTCGCGTCTCAGTCAGGTAAGATTTATCTCTAGGTCTCTTAGTCGTGCTCGGAATTCCAGAAATACACTCGGCCACTTCCAGAGACAAGTGGCAAATGTAAAGATACTTAAATACTTTCTGTATGCTGTGTATAAGTGTTAAAATTTATTAAAGACTGTATTGAATGACATACTTTATAGATGCAGCTGTAGGACATGTGGATTTAATCCTCTTTTCCTTTATTTGATCACTTCTTTTTTTATTATTCTGCTTTCAAATCTCTGATTACCTGGTTTCATATTTGATGTCTTTTTTCCTTATCTTAATATTTTATAGATGCTTATGCTCATAATCCAAATTTCTGCTCTTTGTGTCAAAATGGGCAACACTGGTCATACATAAAATCTCTGCCAGTATTTGAAGAGTTGCGAAAAGATTGTGTAGAAATGGTTCCGTGGTTATGTAACACGTGGTTGCTTGTTAACTAATAAATTTTAAACATGTATCTCAGCTCCTGACCAAAGAAGACCAAATTATGGATGTCAAGTTGTGGTACAGTCGGAACAAGAGAAACATCTCTTAAAACAAGTTCGCAAGGAAGAGAAGAAATTGAACAAGGCTATAAATCGTAATGATGAGGAGGATGTGGAGGAACCTGAATTTAATCCTGTAGAACTAAGAGCTAAACGGTAAGTTGTCATACTAATAATGCTTTATTAGATGTTGGATGTTAAGAAATGTCTTCAGTTGATCAAGCTACATTTTGATGTCATGAGAGTAATGTTCCCCTTTATTAAATGTTGTGCTTGGATCCTGATTAACCACTTGGCTATTCACCGTAAACATATTGATTTTCAGTTCCCCCCCCCCCCCCCACAAAAGAAAAAAAAAGTTTTAATTTAAATTCTTTTAAAATCTTGAACATTTTATTCTAGAAGTCCTGCTATGCAGAAAGTTCTTGTACAGGGCAAAGTTTGTATGTTTTACATGCCATGATATGTCTTCCTCAAGAAAAATTCTTATGTTTAAATGTCTTAAGTGAGTTTACTGTAATTACTCACACATTCAGGATTATTTTTTATTAACCGACACTTTTATGTTTACGTTACATTTTTAATATTTAATATAATACCATGAAACATATACTTTTCTACGAATGTGTCAAAGTAGTGTCTTAAACCTAAACATTGAGTGACATCCTTGAAGCCTAAAAACTCTGCACACTCGAGAATCAAAATTGTACAGAAATTTGGTCATAGTTGCTGTCCTTGAGAATTAATTGCTGTAATAATATCAGGTGAAGAGCATAAATTGCGAACTGCCTGTTCATGGTATTTTCATCATGCTCCTGTTAATTCTTATGTCTAGGTATTTTGTCTTTGATTCTATAGTCTAAATCACCCTCAGTCTGTGTTCTTCACTTATAGTGAGAGTCCATATATTATTATTGCATTAAAAAAATCCCGTTACGTGTCAATTTTGGCACTTAAGGGAGAGGAGGTATAGCTCCTACTCATTCTTAACCTTAGCACTAGATAGGGGTGAGTGGTCAGCATCATGCCCTGACCACGCTTTACCCCCAGAAAAGACAGGAGGCTGGGTGGGCACAAGAGCCAGTCTGGACGCAGAGGCTAGAATAAAATCCTTTTTGTCTGTCGGGGATCAATCCCTGGTCGCCCAGCCCGTAGCCAGTCAATATGCCGACAGAGCTAACCAGCTTTCTGCTTCTATAATGCGAAACAAATTTCAGGCAAGCAGCATTAAAGACCGCTATGAACGCTCCGATATTCCAAGACCGATCAAGAGTGACACAGTCACAGGAGAAGTATCCCCATGTGTACGATTCTCAGAGACAAGTCCAGCAGTCATCAGGTGTGTTATATGCTGTTTTTATTATTTCACATCATTTCCTCCGTGAAGAAGAAAGATGACAGTGGACTGAGAAAATATGTTGTGTTATCATTTATTATTTCCCAAACTTCTTTTCATTCTTTTCCATACACCAAACTCCATTACCAGTTCAAAATTAATGATACATTAAATAACTTATCCTGCAGCGAGGCCTTAACTACATATTGTGCATGTGACATCGTATTTTTTCAATGTTTGTTTCCAGTGTATGAAATGCTTCTGTAGAATCTGGCACTATTAAAATATGAACACTCGAACAAACTGCACTTATCAATAAAATGTGACATTGCAAAACAAAGTCCACGGAGCAGAGTCCTTCTTGAAAAGCTAATAGTACACACAGTTGATCAAGAAATTTTCTGTCTGTATGGAACCTGAAGGTTGATTACCATGTTCACAGTCTGTATCCTGAGCTAGATGAATTTAATCCACACCCTCCAGACCCTGTTTTTCAAAATCAATTTTGAAATCCTCCCAGCTATGTGCAGGTCTTCTGAGTGAACTCTTTCTTTCAGTCTTTCCAACAAAAATTTCGTACGGATTTCTAATGTCCCCATGTGTGCTACATGCCCCACCTATTTCATCGTGTTTTCTTGGTTCACATTTGTATGAGTATATCTAGCTTTATGTCTCAGATGCTTGTTAAATATAGTAAGGTCTTACAACTGTTCAGTCTGTGACAAAAGTTATACTGTTGTGAATGTCAAATGGTAAAATGAGTTTGAACTTATTTCCCCAACAGGATTCATAGCTGGTGTTAAAGTGATGCTGTCTTCGGATGTAAAAAGGACTGATAACAAGCAGTACGAGGAAGTGAACATTCCAGTATCAGAACCAGCGCCGCTCTCCGTAGGAAATAATTTAGTATCAATTTCTTCATTGGATGAGGTAACAAGTAGCTTTTTCTGAACTCTTATAGACGTGCATTTTTTTAAAATCAGTATTAATTACGAGGAGGGACAGAATTACTGGAGTCATTGGAGAGTTGTATTAAAAGTCATAGAACTTTGTCACTTTCTTTATGATTTTTTTTATTGTGTTAAGTGTCATTACCAACACAGAAATATTTGTCTGCGTATAGTTGTCGGTATACACGGTGAAGTTGTAATAAGGAAATTCCTAATATATCATTTGAAGTTTTAGACCCAATGATATACAGAACCAAATCCAAATTGAATTTGTCATGGTGTTAATAAATTTAAACTGTGGTACCATACAGATTCATGTATCTTCCTGTCTAACTTTTTGAAAACCTTGACACTATCACTTATTTGAATTTGGTATGAAAACTTGTCTCTTAATTTTAGGAAAGGCAAGAATGAGTGTGTTAGGAAACAAATTGCTGAGGAGAATGTTTCATCTCAGGAGAGATTAAGTAATGGAGAATAATATAGGATCAGTTTCATTTTGCACCTGCCCTGAGGATGAGAGCAGAGATGGCTCTTGAAACGTTGGCAGAAGAAGTGGTTCATTCACCATTCAGCCACCTGACCCGGCTTGTTACCCGAGAGTCTTTCATCAGCTCCAGTCGCCACGAAGGCTTCACTTTATACATCAGTTGATGGGAACATATTTGCTACTATGTTCACATCCGCTGTCTCATTTAGGTTAATAGACAGTAGATTCAGATCTGTGTAATATTTTGTTTACAGATTGGACAAATGGCATTCCAAGGCGTGAAGACCCTAAACCGTATTCAGTCTATCGTGTTTGATACTGCATACCGCACCAATGAAAACCTGCTGATCTGTGCACCTACTGGTGCAGGTAAAACCAATGTAGCCTTGTTGACGATAGTTCATCAGATCAGGCAGTTTATTGACCAGGGCGTTATAAAGAAGGATCAGTTTAAAATCGTATATGTCGCACCCATGAAGGCTCTGGCAGCTGAAATGACCCAGAACTTCAACAGGAAGTTGAATTGCCTTGGAATATCTGTGAAGGAACTAACAGGTGACATGCAGCTGACAAAATCAGAAATATTGCAAACACAGATGCTTGTCACTACTCCAGAGAAGTGGGATGTTGTCACCAGAAAGGGCACAGGTAAGACGTTCTACAAAATGTGCACGTGCATTAAGAAGTATAATTGTGGTGGGAAAGTAATATTAAAATAGATCTTACAGAAATGGATATGGGTTAGTTTCAACTGGCTTAAGATAGCGTCCTATGAACATGGTATTATCTGTAAAAAGAGGTTGTTGTTTTTTTTACTGCAGTAATGCAGTTATTAATTTTAAAATATGTTTTGCAGGAGATGTTGCATTGACGAATCTGGTCAAATTACTCATCATTGACGAAGTGCATTTATTGCATGGGGACAGAGGCCCAGTTGTGGAAGCACTTGTTGCGAGAACTTTACGACTGGTGAGTGTGCTTTGTGGAAACATTTGCAAGGAAGTATAACATTGTTTGACTTCATAACTAGACCAGTTCCTTGTTTGAAGGAATGGTAAACTTATAATATCATCTCCATCCTAAATTTTAAACCGGTCTACATATTTTGACGAAACATGGTTTGAGGATTTACAACTAGAGGCAGCCATGTTTCCTACCATCAGTAATACCAATATGGTAGCTTTGCAGTTGTGGATTGTGACTTTTTCAAAAGTGTTAGCAATTGATGTTTGGTTAACCTTGTATCTTCTAAGGTCAGTGTATTCAGTGTCGTTGCTTTTTTATGTTAACAGGTGGAGTCGTCACAGAGCATGATTCGTATCGTGGGTCTTTCAGCCACGTTACCAAATTATGTGGATGTGGCAAAATTTTTGCGAGTAAATCCCTACATTGGTCTCTTTTACTTTGACTCGCGTTTCCGTCCAGTGCCTCTTAGCACAACATTTGTTGGCGTGAAAGCGATCAAACCATTACAGCAAATGAGTGATATGGATCAGATTTGCTATGAAAAAGTTGTTGACATGGTGCAGAAAGGGCATCAGGTTTGTTGATCATATTTGTTAAAAATTTATCTTAAATGTGTGATTAGGAATTTAATTTCATTGCTTAAGTTTATAGTATAAATTATATTTTTAATGCAGGTAATGGTGTTTGTTCATGCTCGTAATGCGACTGTGAGGACAGCAATGATACTGAAGGAAATGGCACTTCAGCACAACCAACTGAAGATATTTGAGCCGGATGAAAATGGAGGTGTTGGACTGGCAATGAAAGCCCTGAGTCGGTCACGTAACAAGCAGCTGGGGGAGTTGTTTCCATGTGGTTTCTCTGTACATCATGCAGGAATGTTGCGCTGTGATCGGTGAAGTTCATTCAAGTTCTTTTGAATAATACCTACGTTGCTATATAATCACAGCATAGCTGTTGTTTGTCTCAAATTTACACGTGACTTCTCTAATTTTCATATAAAAATAAAAAAAAAAGTAAGGTAAAGTTGTCCCACTATATGCCATGGAGGCGCTTCAGGGGGAGAGGTGAAAAAGCTCCTACCCACCCTTAACCTTGACACTACGTGGGGGTGAGTGGTTAGCATCACGCCCTGGCCGCTCTTTACCCCGGGAAAGGACCCCAGTACCCATTGGCTAGGAGGCTGAGTGGGCCCCAGAGCTGGTCCAGTCGCAGAGGCTGTAGGAAAAATCCTCTGCCCTCCGTCAGGGATCAAGCCCCGGTCGCCCAGTCTGTAGCGGGTCTCTATGCTGACTGAGCTATCACAGCTCACCTAATTTACATATAACATAATTTAATTGTACATTCTATACACCATTTCATATGATGGCAATGGCATTTTGTACCAAAATAACTTTTGCTGCAAATATATAGATTATCATACATTGACATCCTAACCTCAAAATTTTTGTGACATGTTATTTTGTCGATTTATACTCTTTGTTATTTTTATTAAAGATATATATTTATCTTTGTATTTTGTTTCATACCTTAGATCAATGGTGGAAAAATATTTTGGTGATGGCTTAATCAAAGTTTTGGTTTGTACTTCAACCTTGGCCTGGGGTGTGAATCTGCCTGCACATTGTGTGATTATTAGGGTAAGTCATATTATTGATTTTGGTGTCATGTAATGTTCATTTATGAGTTTTATCAGTATTATTTTCCAACTCCATTTCATTACTGGCCTTGTGTGGAATTTTTGTGATCTGCGTGACTTGTTTGTCTTTATATTATTCCCAGACAATTTTACATTTTTGTCATAGACAAGTACTTGTTTTAGGCCATTTAGTTCCAGCCCTTTCTCATTCTCTTGGTATATTCTAGAGAACATTTTCAAGGTAACCTCTTAAATACATATGTTTATTATGTTTTCAGGAGTTCACATTTATTTTATTTAATAAATTGTCTTGAAAATACTTAATAAAAACTACAGTGTTTTCATGTATACTGATTGCTGTAATCTTTCATGTTTTGTTTTTTTAAGGGAACAGAAATCTATGATGCAAAGCATGGTTCATTTGTGGACTTGGGAATTCTTGACGTATTACAAATTTTTGGACGAGCTGGCCGCCCTCAGTTTGACAGATCTGGTCATGGAGTTATCATTACAGCTCATGAAAAACTGAGCCATTACTTGTCTCTTCTGACAAATCAGTTTCCCATTGAAAGTAATTTTATTGCTTGCCTGATTGATAATCTAAATGCAGAGGTAATATATATTTGCTGTCTTATGCTATAGCATATTTCTTTGTGGGTATGTGGTGTAAGAATTATAAAAGGATGTTTGCCAGACTGAATGTCTCAATACACTATTCCCAGATGTGGCATGTATTTGCCCTATTCCTTATTATTGTATTTAAAAACAAAATTACATGTTCCATATGTAATTCTGTCAATTTGGTGAATCACAATTTCAAGGTCAATCAGTCCCTCATCCAAACGTGTTTCTGCTGCTAATGCAGCCTGTTTGAGCATTGATATGTTTAATTAAGATTGTATTTTGCTTACTTATAATTAGTCAGCTTTTTAAATCTTTTTTTTCTCTTTTAGTAATTTAATTATTATTGTTGATGTTTGTAAAATGTTACTTTTATTGTTTCATTATTCATTACAGCAAATTTTAGGTGCATTTGTATCCCTGTGAAGTGGCTATTAAAATTACTTCTTCATTCTCTGTGTAAAAAGAAAACTTGAGAATGGCTGAACAGATTGCATGAAATTTGATATTTAAAAATTTTACTAACGTTTTTCAGCACATTTTGAGTTTGGTTAAAAAACTTAATATATATATATATATCATTGAGGTTGATATAATAATTTCTATGATACAAATGCTGTTTGTGATAGTGTTAGAAGAAGTGTGTGGTAGCACTGTATGTAATTTTTGTTGTATTTAAGGTAACGCTTGGAACAATTTCAAATGTTGATGAAGCTGTGCAGTGGCTGAGCTACACTTACTTGTTTGTTCGGATGAAAATCAATCCCCAGTGCTATGGTATCAACTATCAGGATGTTTATGTAAGTAGCGATTTCTTGTGATTTAAACAAAACCACTATCTTGCAAACATCTACAGGAAAAACCTCTATACAGCATGTGAAAGTGTGGATTGTGATCTTCCGGGTTGTGATGCTATGTAGTTATGAAGGTGGCCCTCTAAAGCATCGGTAACCATCTGCAAGGCAATGCTGTGTCAACCACAGTATTTTTTTTTCATTTTTGTTTCTGTAGTGTAGTAACAGTTGGGAGTAACTATGAACTTGAGTCAGCTCTAAACCCATTAAGAAACCGTCCATTGATAATCACTATATTTCATCATGAAATACATGTTTCTACAGGTTGATCCCACATTAGAGAAGAAAAGAAGAGAATTAATTGAATGTGCTGCTCAAGCCTTGGATAAAGCTCGAATGGTCAGGTTCAATGCTCGAACTGGAGATATGAATGCTACAGGTAATGACAGAATGGTTTGATTTGCTATATTCAAAATAATAAAATTCCTGTATATTATCTTCCATCCTAATTTAATTGAAAACAGTATTTTGGAAAATGGAATCTGTTTCTGTTGTGTTCTGGTTTTTCTTAATAATATTATTTTGCATTTTAAAAGTACCTGCTTGAGTGTTTTATCTTCAATTCCATTTTACATACCGGATGTTAACTTTTCAATTCCTTCTTGTTTCTTGAAATTTCAGATCTTGGTCGAACTGCTAGTCACTTTTACATAAAGCATGCTACAGTTGAGATTTTCAATGGCCTGATGGCAGAAATTATGACAGAAGCTGACATTCTGAGTATGATATCAGAGTCTCAAGAGTTTGAACAATTGAAGGTTAGCTGTCATTGTATCTACATCATAAGCAAGCGTTAGTCTGTTGGTCGGTCAACCCAGCCAACAAACTTACCCAGCACACACAACTCAATTGAAGTAACTGATATGTCCAATCCCACCCCACTGGCCCAACCACCCTGGCTTACCCGTGATCCAGTCATCCAGCGTCCCATCCGACGATTAAATGACCTATAAGCATTTTTTTTCTTATTTCTGGTATATCAGTTCTTCAAAATTAATGTTTATGTCCAGTATTTGTTTCACATCCCTTGATTTAACAGTTCTTTTATGTTTGCTGTTTGTTATCTCAGCGGTTTCAGGTATTGTTTATAACAAAATTTGTTATTGGTGTTTGTTGATGTCATTAATATGTTGATTTTATGAATATAGTGTAGTTTTTATTTTAATGCTCTTAAGACATGCATTTGCTTTCATTTCCTTGATTTTTTATCCAGTTTTGATTGTCTGTTCAGTATTTTATAATGTGGGTTTCTCAGTACTGATTTTTATCTTGAACTCTGTTGGAATCTCTTTTGCAGTCGAAAGCAGCAGGTGTAATGTGCATTACCAATGTTTTGCATGTATCGATGTTTCCTTTAGGTACGAGATGATGAACTGGAAGAGTTAGATGACCTGACTTCCGTGTACTGTAAAGTTCCAGTCAAAGGGGGCAGTGAGAATTTGCATGGGAAAGTGAACATCTTGCTGCAGACATTTTTGTCCCGTGGCAGAGTGAACTCTTTTTCTCTCATGTCTGACCAGGCTTATATTACACAGGTATACTATAGTTTTCTTTTAATTTGTTGCTACAGATTAATTTTAAATTCCTGTGTATGTTAGATCTCTTATATACATTACTTTGTCGTGAAAATAATCATGCAAGTTGTGATGCTTAATACTGAATTTCTGCGAATACACTCTGACAACCTTTGGTGTCGAGTATATCTTTGTTATGAAGTTAATCATGAAGTGAAGTGATAGGAAAATCAGTATTTTCAGGATGTATTTTTAACGTTACAGAATGCAGTTAGGATAACAAGAGCATTGTTCGACATAGTACTGAGAAAAAACAATCCGATCATGTCTGCAAGGTGCTTAACTCTAAGCAAGATGTTTGAGCAGCAGCAATGGGTTTTTGAGACACCCATGCGACAGTTTCGTATTCTTGGACCAGAGATCATTTATAAAATAGAGGACAGGAAACTTTGCGTTGAGAAGCTGAGAGAGATGGACGTTAAGGAGATTGGTGAGTGTAGCAAACACCACTCGATAGATAATTATAAGGACGATGAGCATAAAGTCATCTCACGGTAATTACTGGAGAGCTTTTTCTGTTTTAATTGATAGGAACAATCCTTCGCCATGCCAAAATGGGTGACACTGTGAAGCGCTGTGCAGACGAGTTTCCCTTCTTGGACATGGAGGCTGTCTTGCAACCAATCACACGCACTGTTCTCAGGATAAGACTCCATATAAGAGCAAATTTTAGGTACGTTAGTACAGTTTTCTTTAGTAACTGTATCACAGAGTGATCCCGTTAGCTTAGACTGAATCACCTACTTCATATTTTAGAAGTCCTAGATTCAAATTTTGACCTGAGACTGGGTATCCGGAGTGAAGTTTTTGTTGTCTTAATCTGTCCCTTCAGGCAAATGCTTTGACATAACTGAATAAAATCTGATGAGAACTGTGATGACGGGGACCAAGATGGTCCCTGAAACGTCTGTTTTTTCTATTAACCAATTGATTGCCCGAGAAAATTTTATTGAATCCACATTTTCACTTCCATGAAAACTTTAAATTGTAACAGTGTGAAGAAGCTAACTTATAAATTTAAAGATGTGCACCAAATAGAATGTTTCAGTGATGTATATTACACCAGATGTTTTCCATTGCTAGATGGAATGACAAAGTCCATGGGAAGACGTCTGAAGCTTTCTATGTTTGGATTGAAGATCCTGATAGTAATTACATGTATCATTCAGAATTCTTTCTGATCACAAAGAAACAGGCAAGCATGCTTCCACACATAATTATTATATATATATTATTATACTATGTTATATTATGGAATTATTAACTAAAGGATACTGGAGGTTGTGTACTAGATATGCAACAAAGAATGACAGTAGATGGTTAAAAAATAGATTTCATATTAATTTAATTAAGTATCTGAGCACTGTGTTACTTTCAGTAATAATTAACTTTCTACAATTTATGTAATACTTTATGTTTCTCACAGGTTTTGTCAAGAGAATCTCAGGAACTAGTAATGACCATTCCACTGATTGAACCAATTCCTTCTCAGTACTCCGTTACAGCTACTAGTGATCGGTGGCTGGGATCCGTGACAAGTATTCCCTTAACCGTTCAAAATCTCATTTTGCCAGAAAGCCATCCACCACACACTGGTGAGTTATTTGAAGCTGCATGAATTCCAGAAATAAAAGAATTTATTTCATGTAACTAAGTATGCTTGTCTTCCTGCCTGCTGTATAAATGCATTAAGATGCACAAAATTATAAATTTACCTTTTTTTTATATGGGTGTGAAACTTGGTGTCTCACATAAAGGGAAAGCGCATAGATCTGAGAGTGCAGAGAACAGGGTGATGAGGATATTTGGACCCAAGAGTGATAAAGTTGCAGGAGGCAGGATAAAACTGCGTAATGAGGAGCGTCATCATTTGTTTTTCTTTTTTCTTTTCTGTACTGCAGATTTACTTGAGCTACAGCCATTGCCTGTAAAGGCTCTTCAAGACCCTCAGCTGGAGATGTTGTACCCATTTGAACATTTCAATCCAATCCAGTCACAGATATTTCATTGTTTATATTACACTGACAACAATGTGCTGCTCGGTGCACCCACTGGGTCTGGTAAAACTATTGCTGCTGAAATTGCCATGTTCCGGGTATTCAAGAAATATCCTGGCTGTAAGGTCAGTGACAATCAGTTCTATTATTCAGAAACTGTCCATAATATAAGTTTAATGAGGGCCGTAATCAGGAATTCAAGGGATTTTAAAGCTGTCATGTCATCGCAACCGGCCTTGCAGCATATCAAGAAGGACTATTCTTTGTGGTTATATTACGTAACTGTAATCTCGAGACTTGCAAGGAATGCAGGAAGTCCGAAGCGTTAAAGGCTGACGCTATCTTTCCTCCTTCACCCCACAAGTCTCAAGATTACAGTCTTACACTGTACTTATGTTAATTGTGATTATTTGTGTTTTGTAGGTTGTGTACATAGCCCCTCTGAAAGCTCTTGTTCGGGAACGTATTGGGGATTGGAAAATAAGACTGGAAGGGAAACTAAACCGGAAGGTTGTTGAATTAACAGGTGATGTATCGCCGGACATCCGTGCTATATCTGAAGCTGATGTAATTGTAACGACACCTGAGAAGTGGGACGGCATCAGTCGTAGCTGGCAGACGCGTAATTATGTCCGTGATGTTGCTCTTATTGTGATTGATGAGATCCATCTGCTGGGAGAGGATCGTGGTCCAGTACTAGAAGTGATAGTATCCAGGACCAATTTCATAGCGTCACACACGTCTCGGACTCTCCGCATCGTGGGCCTTTCAACAGCGTTGGCCAATGCAAAGGATTTGGCAGACTGGCTTGGCATTGGACAGGTAGGAATGAAATGGGGGTATTTTCAGAATGCTGTATATTATCTTCATAAATGTGATCATCTTTGTCTGCAAATTGTTCAGATACAGACACAATCAAAACAGTTTCCCATCATCTAACAATAAAATAACTGGATGTGCGGTGTAGTCTACATGCTTTATAAAACACTTGTTTGTATCCAAGACTGGTTTATTGGTGTGTGTTTTTTTGCAGATGGGTTTGTACAACTTCCGTCCATCGGTACGTCCAGTACCACTTGAGGTCCACATTTCAGGATTCCATGGCAAGCATTATTGTCCTCGTATGGGCACCATGAACCGACCAACATTTCAGGCAATTCGACAGTACTCGCCAGCAAAGCCAGCTCTTGTGTTTGTTTCATCTCGGAGACAGACTCGGCTAACGGCACTAGATCTCATCGCTTACCTTGCGGCTGAAGATGATCCTAAGCAGTGGCTTCATATGAGTGAACAAGAGATGCAGCAAATTGTTGGTGGAGTGAAAGATTCAAACTTGAAACTTACATTGGCATTTGGTATTGGTATGCATCATGCCGGTCTTCAAGAGAGGGATCGTAAGACTGTGGAGGAATTGTTTGTCCATCAGAGGATACAGGTTTGTACATAATACCCCTGTACAGAGCAGTGGTTCTTCAGTTATTGGTATGAAATTGGAAGATGAATGTAGATTTCATGTGTCCACCATATTGTTATCTTAGGTTATGAGGAAGGGAAGTTGATGGAACTGGTTCAGGACTGTTCTCGGGGAAAAGCTGTGGTATTAAAAGTGTTGAGATTTTAGATTTTTCTAGCAGAGAATTAAATCCAGATCCAGAGAAGTACTGAGAACTTGGTGAGATTTCAGTCTATCGTGGCAGTGCGTATGAAGGTCACTGTCTACCAAGATCGTGCACCATGTAGCCTGGTAGAAATTTACCAGGCTGCATGGCGCAGAATTCCAGAAGACAGTCATTTTGAATGAGTACTTGATTAATACAATCGTTCTTTCCACTTTCCTCTGTGTGAACCATGTAATTAATGTTCATTAAAGGCGTATTGTATGTCTGGGAGTAAAGATTATTATTATTTCAGATCCTTATTGCAACAGCAACCTTGGCATGGGGCGTGAACTTTCCAGCTCACTTAGTTGTGATAAAAGGAACCGAGTACTACGATGGTAAAACACACCGTTATGTGGACATGCCCATTACAGATGTCCTGCAAATGATGGGACGTGCAGGTCGTCCGCAGTTTGACGACAGTGGCATTGCAGTTGTTCTGGTTCATGATGTCAAGAAGAATTTCTACAAAAAATTCTTATATGAACCTTTCCCTGTGGAGTCAAGTCTTCTGGAAGTCTTGCCTGATCATCTGAATGCTGAAATTGTAGCAGGAACTGTGCAGACAAAGCAAGATGCCCTCGACTATCTTACTTGGACGTACTTCTTTAGAAGACTGCTTCAAAACCCTACATACTACAAACTAGAAACACTGGAACCAGAAGATGTCAACGGTTTTCTTTCAAATCTGGTACAGCGGTCACTTAATGTCCTAGGAGAAGCTTATTGTATATCAGTGGATGACGTAAGTGATAAATAATATTAACCCTTATTGGAGGTCTGTCAATGTTAAAGTTTGCTTTGGAACCTTAGGGATTTAAATTTAATAAGAATTATTTTATTATTAACACATTTTTCTCTTAACCCTTTCACATCTCATTGCTTGTTTCGCAAAGATTGAGAAACGCTGAGCAGAACGAGTGTGCAAATATATTGTACTCCAGTTTTAATACGCAGTTTCCGAAAGCTCTGTGTGGTTTTGCATCTTCCATTTGTAACTTTAGTTTGCTCTCAAGTGGAACCTAGTTGTTTTTTAAGCATGATTTCCAACATGCCATCCATTGCCATTTATTTATTTCATGCAAAATAGTCTAAGCCTCTATGAAGCGAACAATTCAGTGTTATGTTTCACTGATATTGTCCATATCGCTAAGCATGGAGTGAATTTTATTGCATGTATGCCCAACCAGGATGTTACTTTGCAGGATTGCCGTGGAGTTCATCCAACATCCATGGGTAGAATAGCCTCATTCTATTACCTGTCTCACCAAACAATGCAGCATTTCCAAGACAGCCTTAGACCTGACTCAAACGTAGAACAGTTGTTGAAAATTCTGAGTGATGCTCACGAATATGATCAGTTGCCTGTACGACACAATGAAGATGGCCTAAATGGGTGAGTACGGACATCGCTGGAGAAACTCGTACAGAGTTAAGCAGAACACTGACTGAGATCATTATCATTCATTAGTGCCTCATAAATGGGACAGGTTCATCGGAAACCGCTCAAAAGTGAATACCGGAGATCTGTTTGGTCCAGTCACAATCACTTTAAATCGTGCGAGTCAAAAGTGCTCGGTGCTTGTGTGCATAGTACACAGTTCATTTCATTGTGCAACTAGAATTTGGGTTCTCAGTGTAACAATTATGAAGAGGCTGTATTCTAGGATGTAGGTCTGTGATGGTGAATCGCTTTCTGTTCCGTTTCAGTGAACTTGCCAAGAGCTGCCCACTACAGGTTGACCAGTATTCGCTAGATTCTCCTCACACGAAGGCCTTACTGTTGCTTCAAGCCCACTTTTCCAGACTTCAGCTACCGTGCACAGATTATCTGACTGATCTGAAATCTGTTCTGGATCAGACTATTAGGATTTTACAGGCGAGTTCACTTAGTGTGAAAATGATGTTCCCTTTATAATATCATAGCTTTAATAGATTAAGAGGGCCAGCTTAGTGTGACTTATGAACCAGATGAACAGGGTTGTGCCTTGAAATAGACCATTATCACCTCCTAAATTCTTACTTATTTTCCATTCATGTTTATTTCTGCATTTCATTCAGTGATATTTTTGCCCGTGCAGTTGAGAGAATCTTGTTAAATAATGTAAGAACTAATCATTTAACCCTGATAATGTGACTAGTTTCTCATGAAATAACATAATTTGTTTGTGAATTATAGGCAATGATAGATGTATGTGCTGAACGTGGTTGGATGTCAACCACGCTGCGTACCCAGCAGATTATGCAGATGGTGATCCAAGCTCGATGGGTTCAGGATTCTCCACTCCTTACTCTGCCACATTTGGAACCACATCACATGTACCTCTTCATGAAAAAGGGTAGAAAATTACAGACTCTGCCTCTCCTGAGGGCTGTCTCATATAAACACTATTCGGCTCTAGCTGACATTTTGAGGGCAGAGTTTGATGAAGGAGAAATAGAACAGGTTGGTCCAAATTAATGTTACAGGTCTCAGTTGTAGTACATAATGCACGTATTACATTATAATTTTTAAATATTCATAGTCGGGAGCAGATTAAATGTTACAGCTCCAGGAGAACCTCATTACCAAGTTACGGCCCACATTTCCTTTCTGAAATTTCCAGCGGGTCATTATACCTTCATTGCTTTTCATAGCAAGTGTTCAAAGTAAAACGCTGAATTGGAAGCTGATATTGCAACAAGATTCTATTAATTCGCTGGGGGAAGAATCATGTCCAAACTAGCTCTAGAGCACACAAATTTCTAATATCAGATTTGTGCAAGGGGCTTTTTTTTTACCAAGGGTAAAGTGGCAGGAGTGTGAAGCTGACCACTTTCCATCTAGTGTTGAAATTTAGAATGTGTGGAGTATTGCCTCCACTTCCTCCGTACACCTTCATAGTGTGGTGCTAAGACACAGAGACAACTTTATGATTTTATTATGACATGTTCATTGCCTTATTTTTTTCTAGGTACACAAGGTTCTTTGTGAAATGCCAGTTCTGAATGTGAATATTAGTATATGTGGATGGTGGGAAAATGAAAATGTTGAAGAAGAAAGACATTTCAAGCAGCCGCCCACAAAATGTGATTGGATTCAAGTTCATGCTGATCAGGAATACACACTTATGGTACGACTCGAACGCGTCAACAGGGCAAGAGAACCGAAAGTTCACAGTCCTCGATTTCCTCGTGGAAAAGATGAAGGCTGGTTTCTGACATTGGGTTGCATAGAGACTGGAGAACTTTTGGCAATGAAACGAGTCTCTGCAGTAAGAGGTAGCAGGAACTGCCAACAGCTTACATTCTTTACTCCAAAGACGACAGGTAAGAAGCTACATGGAAATAACTTTTATATTTTATAAGGTGGTAAATTTCTTGTCTCATCACACATTCACCAATCAGTGTAGGAAACAAGATTACCTACAAACTGTCGTGAAATGCTGAATAGTTCTATAAATAGTATTACTTTTTTTCTTTCAGGTCGTTTGATTCTCACCTTATATATTCTGTCTGACTGCTACTTGGGACTTGATCAACAGTACGATTTGCAACTTGACATCATCCCAGTCAGTCTTAAAGTTCAGACGAACACTGAGCTGAAGGAGTCTGAATTCATCTCAGATTCTAACAGCGTACAAGGAAAGGAATGTTGAGCACAAAGAAAATAAACGCAATGTTCCACAGGTACTGCTAGTTCCTTTCAGAAGTTTTACGAGATACTGTCAGTTTTAGTGGAAAAGTTTATGGCTTTTTCAACTTTGTTCTTTGAAGATGACTGTCTTGTGGCAAAAGTTACTGACCTTTCGTAGTTTCTACCTTTATCAGCATCCTAATGATGGAAGCAGCAAGCACTTCTGAAATGTCAGTAAACTTTCACGAGACTACATGGTACAACATCCAAGAAGACAGTCATCTTTATTCTTGCCACCGTGAGAACCTGAAGTATCACCACGCATTCTTTGAATGTGGTGCTAGAACTGGGTAATTGTATATTGTATGGCTTGGCTGTGCACGCACCCTAAGGGTTGACTGCTTTAAGTTATCACAAATATTGAATTCCAGACTGTTGTTGGTTACATTTTTACTCATATGTAGGATTGAAATTGTCATTGTAATTGAGTACAGATTAATTTATTGTTCTGAGCATGTATGATTCATATTTCATAAAATGAGATTTATATCTGATTTGTTATGTTGCCAGGAATATGTTTATTTACATTCAACACTACAGGAGACATAGAATGTTACATTCTAGTATTCTGGTGAATGAAAATTGGATATGAATGCTAACATGTTGAATATTTTATAGTGTTAAACCATTGCAGTATTTGCATATCAAAATTAAGAAATTATATAATCTTCATGTGTATATTCAAATGGCTTGATCCATATGAATTGTTTATATTTGCTGCTGTATAAGGTTTAGTTTAATCTTCTGTAAAGAACAGGATATTGTTATAAACTATGATACACGTGTAATTGCTGGTTCTGTAAAATAACACACACTGTGATAATTCCTTCCAGTACCAGATGTTATTATTAATTACATGCTGGGATGCTGTTTATCTGTACTATCCCTGACATGTGATACGGTTGAATACATCTTATTTACAGTTTCTCATCACTAGATTTGTGTCTTCCAGTTATATGTAACTCTATCAAGCAGAGTCTTTCTTGAGAAGCTGATGGTAGGTCAGCTAATTAAATTTCTGCTTTTAAGGAACTAAAGTTTCATTATCGTGTTTACATAGACCAACCATTCGATCTGCCTGATCCATTCTGCCTAGTATCCCAAGTGGTGTCTTCCCTTCAGATTATGAATGCATTTCTCATCTAGCTGTGTGCTATATGTCCAGCCAATCTCACCATCCTTGATTTGATCACCCGAATGGTATGTAGTAGACGTATGTACTATGAAACTTCTTTTTATGTGCTTTCCAGTTTTCTTGGTGGTTACAAACATTTTTGAGGAATACATTGCCTCCATCTTTACTTCTGCCCTCAAGATGGGGGTGACAGATCTGGTTTCTTCATAATGCTGTTAACCACCTATAAAAATGCAGATAATGGTAACAAAGAAGACCACAATCCAAATTTTCAGTGTCGTGAAAATCTTGAATATTTCTTCAGTGGGTATGTAATTTTCTCTGTCATCCTGTTACTTCCTTATGGGTGTGCCAGGACACAGCAAGTAATTGGCCAAGATTGTATTCTAAGTGAAACTGAAGATATTGTTTCGGGCCATTCAGAATAAGAAAGGCGTCGGAGAAATACTTTACTCCCACAAATTCTTAGTATTATTACGTTATATATAAACTATCAAATCTAAAACTTCTTGACGATGGTGAAGAGTCAATTGAATAAAAATTTCCTTGGATATTATCCATTGTCTAGTAAATATAGAACGTGAAACGACGTTTCGGAGAAGGGACTCTATCTCCGTCTTCAGGTTCCTGCACAGTTGGGCCCACTAGATAGAGCTAATCCCTAACTCCGGAGATAGAGTCCCATCTCCGAAACGTCGTTTTACGTTTTATATTTACTAGACAATGGATAATATCCAAGGAAATTTTTATTCAATTATATATAAACTAGCTTTGTGGATATATAAGAATTCCATACTTTGCAAATGGAATGTACCAGTTATTCTTTTGTGAAGTCAAAAGAAAAATCTAATTATTATCTTTGGATAACCTTAGATTCAGTCCATTTTGTCCTTCACATCGAGCAGAGACTGTACAATGCCAATTAGCTGATTTGAAAATGCCATAAAAGAAAACTGTTCTTTCATTCTGTCTTGTCCTGCTTTCCCCATTTTTCTTCTCACATCTCCATTTTTAATGCACTTCATCATTGCATCAGCAAAGTCTTCAGGTTTCAAATTACACAGAAATCCTGTTACACCATTCACAACGGTTTCAGTTGGTCCACCGCTGTTGGCAGCAATCACTGGTTTACCCGCATACATCGCCTCAAGAGGAACAATACCAAAATGTTCATTTGGAGGGGTGTAGATAAGACAATGGCACTGGCTCAGCAGTGAAAGCTTTTCCATGTCGGATGGAGATTTCATAAATGTGACATTTTCAGTCAGTCCTAGCGCATTTGCATGACTGACCAGTTCCACGTAATGCTCAACATTTTCCTTCACTCTTGTATCGTAACCACCTGCTATCACTAAATGGATACGTGACCATTCACCAGCAGATAAACATTTCTTGAGTTCACTCATTGCATCCAATGCCAGCTTTAAATTCTTCTTCCTTTCATATCGATTGATTGAAAGAAAAATAACACTGTCTTCAGGAAATTCCATCGCAAGGATCTGGTTTATAGGTAGAGGTGTGGTGTTGTCAAATGCATTAGAATTCATAGTGGGATACAGAACATCAGGTTGAACTTGAAGCCTTTTGAATGTGTCTCTGAACACACCAGCTGTGAATTTGCTGTTTACCAATATCTGATGTGCCTGACCAGTTGTGGTTTCCTCCAGCCAGTTAAGAGGTGCACGATACAAAGATTTCATGACACTGCCTGGCTGACTGAGAAGTTGGTCTGGGAAATGACAATAGAATAATATTTTAAAACCACCAATATGCAGAATCGGCACACAGATGGAAACCTGATCACAGAAAACAATATCTGGTTTAAGTCCACTGAAGAAAACAATATATACTGCAGCATAAATCATGCGAATGTATGCACACAGTGCATGAAAATGACCAAATAAGTTTCTTGGAAGCCAATCTCCAACCACTGTAACAGGCAGGGTTCCATCTCTTGTCTCCACAAAACAATGCTGTGGACTATGGTGTGACGTAACGAAATGAACATCAAATTCCTTTGCTTTTAATGCTAGAGCTGCATCAACTACTAATCTTTCAGCTCCACCAATACCCAAATCTGGATGTAGAAATACAACTTTTGGCATTTTTACACGTGTACAGGATACTGTTCAGTGTCAAACAATTTTCCCTGTTATTCTCTTGATATATAGCTATGATGAAATGTTTGTATTAACCTCTGCACATTCACATGCATCAGTACACGTCTTGCAGTGCATTCAAAACTTGTAAATTTATACCACGTCACTAAAGCAAACCCCCTACTGAACTTCATACCAAAAAATTACGCTTTCAAATCACGATTTGTGACAGCTGATTACAGGTACACCAACAAAAATATCGTTTCTAATACTGTTACGTCTAATATATACAGTGAAATTGTTATTCCTAGACGGTTAGAGTATTTAAAATGTACGTATTAACGTCATTATGAAATTTAATTTCTTGTGTGTTCACACGTTTCAATGTAATTATCACACATCGGGTTTTGCCATATCGTTGGCAACTGCTGTGAGGTCAGTGTTGAAGAGAAGATCACAATGCTGTAGCATATGTTTAAAAATGGCGAAGTGTGTAGCGGTCGTGTTAGTAAAATGTAAGCCCAGAGCGATTATTCAAAGGCATTTTCCTAATGCCTTTACTCTGTACGTTCGAAACCGTACGGTAAGTCATTTTTATGAGATGATAGGTTTATGATTTAGTGTCATACCTGCGTCTGTTTCAGTTGCAGTCACTACCATTTACATCGATTCCGGCCCGCGAAATATTTTGTCAATTTGTTACTAGTTAGTACAAACCCATTTATTTTCTAAACTCTTAAGGATTTGACAAAATAATTGTGATTATCTGCTGCTTTACGTACAAATGCCACGTGTCGGTACACATTATCTGAGGATGTGTTACGATCAACCCTTTGTTAAGCAACAACAAATATGTAGAAGTTGATATTCCGTCACTGGTAAAAGAACATTATGCTCAATGCTCTCACATGCCTGGGGAAAATAAATTATTCTTCCTTCTCACATTTGAGTCTTGAACTTACTACGTTCATGTCTAATTTTGTTACAGGTAGATGAACTGAGATGTAGGTATGCAACTTATTCTAATATACCAGAGATAAATTTAGAAGATGGTGTGGCAAAGAAGGCCAAAGTCAGTAGGGCAATGCGAGCATATCTTGAAAGGGCACAGCAGCATGGTAAGTGTATTCATGTATCATATGCTGAAGTTTTCTTTGACAAAGTGAAAAATTAAAATCTGTATTAGGAAACAGTCATGTGATAGAGTTGATACATGGTTTCTGTACTGCTGTAGTTTTAGTCTGAGATTCTCAATATAGTGAACTGTATTAGTCCTTTACAGTCAAGTGGTAACTATGTAAATGCATACTATGTGCTTTAGCTATCACTTCCACTGCATTTTGTCCACAAATGAATCGAGAAGCATTCCACAATCTAACAAGACTGGAAAGTGTAATCTGTCTCGGAATACATAGAATTCCACATTTTGTTCGCTAACTTTACTTCTGAATGCGCATAGCCCTGTGAAATAGATTTGTCAAAAATGTCAACAATTGTAAGTAGATCCTCGACATTATCCAACATATCCCATCTTAACCATCCTCATCTAACCCATACTGAACATACTGTAACCAAACCCAACATAACCTAATCTGACAATCAAGAAGCAGTTCACAGTCTAATAATCGACCATCTCTTATCAGTAGTTTGCTGTATGTTACTGTATAGTGTTTTGAACATAACCTATGTTCTTATGTTTATTTTAGATGAATTTCTGAAAGACCAGTTGCATCAGTATAATGTTGGTAAGAGACACTTGGCAAACATGATGGGAGAGGATCCTGACACTTTCACGCAGGAAGACATTGATGTATGTATCCTGTATGTCACAGTTCTTGTGCATTATATAAAAATACTGCTAATTGATGTAAATCTTAAGTTGTGTGTTTAGTAATTTTAATTAATAAATATGAAGCCAGTAGTTATTTATTAGATTCATTGATAAGTAGCCATTTAGCTTTTCAAATTCAATCTTTACTGCATCTGAAGTATTAGCTTCTAGCATTGTATTCTTTTGTGAGTAGCAAAAAGTATATAAATCGGTGGTATGTTTGGTGAGACATTTCTGTCTGTACAGATTGTATTTAATCTATATATTTTAACAAGAGCTCTTATGTATTATTACATTCCTGTCTTTTTTTCATATTATTTCAGAAAGCCATAGAGTACTTGTTTCCATCAGGCCTCTTTGATCCAAAGGCTCGCCCTATGATGAAACCTCCAAATGAGGTCTTTCCTCCAAGAAAAGCTGCTGAATTTGATGAGAGTGGACGTCCACATAATTTTCTATTTTATACTGGGAAGTCTAATTTATATCAGCTGTTGTTTGTAAGTAAATACAGACAACAGTAGTTATTCATAATATGTGTTATGTTCTGCCTGATGGGTACCAGGGTCCTTTGCCCCAGGGGGTTAAAGTATTGCTGCGGCATGATTCTGACCGCTTGCCCTCATCTAGTGCTGAGGTCAGGAATTCATAGGAGCTTTACCGCCTCTCTCCCCAAACATCAGCAAAAAATATTCATTAAAAAGTTGGTATGTAGCTCCATATCATGTAATTTTCTCGACCTGAGCTAATTAAATTTTTTTTATGCAGGACATTGTAAGTCACATGAATTCATTAAATGAATTTGAAGATAAAATGATCCAGAAACACTTGACACCAGATACGACTCAAGCGCTGTAAGTTTCATTACGTGTCTCTCGCAGTAATTTAATTTTTACCACTTGTCTGTACTTCACAAATTAATGATTCTGTACCTTTTTAGGGTCACCGCAGGATATGTGTGGTTACCAAAGAATGAGATTGAAAGAACCCTCGTTGAAAACCTGAAGGACAGAGAGGTAACGATCATGATAATTGTAAAGGAAAAACTGTCAAGTATTTATTATGAAAATTATTTCATTTGTGGCTGTCTTCTGGGTTGTAATGCTATGTAGTGCGGTAGTAATTTACTAATATTTCAGAGGTACATTCTGCCCTCATAATCAGGCCAGAAGACAGCCATCTTCAGTGTAAAGTTTATTCTTCTTTGAAATGGAATGAAGTCTGTGGAAGCCGCTTTCATCGGATGAGGGGTAATCGGTGAAAGATAAAGTATTTTTATTTTCCATTGTGTTTCTCTTCTGTATATAATATGAAACCATATTTTCTGTTCTTATATCTGATGCATTTTTGCTGTTTGTTTCTTAATTTGTTTCTGTTGGGAGTAGGGGCTACAAGTTTTTTTTACAGACACATTCTACGCCAGTTGCAGAGTGTGACTTGTTCGAGTGTGTTAGCCAAATTCCAAGGCAGGTCCATGAATATTTTGGAAATCTAGTGTGAGCGTCACACTTTATCTTCTATGATGCACAATCACAAGTTACACCGCGTCACGCACATACGACAAAGGTTACATGATTAAAATCATGAGAAATAATTTTTCACTGTTAGCTGGGCTGATGTGGTTAACGTGAGCATTCTGCTCCTTTACTGCACACAAATCAGATAAAATGATGAAGTATTAGAACCCGGAGGGTGATGGGTTGTCGCTGAAGTGTAACTTTTCTGCATTTCAGTATTCAAATCTCATCTCCGTTTTGGAACGACTTCTTGAGCATCCTTACTCGTACCGAATCAAAGATTTTATTCAAAAATTCAGAAAACCAATGTTGAGCCAGACGAGTCTTTTAGACATTCCGAAGGTAAGACTTTTAATTTATTCATGATCTATATTAAAGGGAAATTAATATCATATTATGTAAGATTTGAGGTTTTCACAGCGGTGAGTATGAAGATTTCTGTCTTCTGGGTTGTCGCGCTGTGAAGTCTGGTCGATTTTAACCAACGTTTCAGAGGTCATACTGCCTCCGTCATCAGGGCGATGAATATGACCTCTGAAACGTTGGTAACCATCGACCAGACTACACAGCGCGACAACCCAGAAGACAGAAATCTTCATCTTTTATTATATTTGCCTGAATATTATCTTAACTCTCTTTACCTTCATGTACGTCCAAAAAAATTTTACGCATTACGCCTGAGTATATTCAGTTCTTTTCAACGTTTTATTGGTAATGTCCGTACCTATTTAAATTTGTTTATTTACGTTTGTGTTACGACGACAGTGACAAATCTAACTTGATTAGGTATTTTAAGTTTTATGTATTGTTTAACTTGACCGTATACAAATGTGGGTGTGGTTAAGAAAGATTGGTTCTGGAGTGACTGCGTGTAATCTGGAGTTTTATTGATTCCAGCCTCAATATGCCGCAGATGGGAGAGCGTATGTAACTACAGAAAGTAAGTACATTTTATCAGTACGTCTTGCATGAGTCATGAATAGTGTATCGCAATGTTTTATATATAATAT